CCTGGAGGGTTGTCAACCATTACATTACTGGTAGCTAAATCGACCCAGTTTGTCTCCCGACTGCTGGTCGTGGGAGACGCGGGCTCCTAATACGAGATATCTCTCACAGGAGAAATTATTTTCTGATATGTACTGCAACAACTAGACTAGGAGCAACTCCTCTTAGTCAGTCCGTCCATTGTGACTTTCCCTCCTTGCTCTCGCCCTCGCGAACATCGTTCCCCTGCGTTTTACTCCGCGTCACGATCGATGGACTAACAAAATGGCCTGTTCCAGGCTCTCGGTCAGTGAGGACCCCGAGAGTCTGGAACGGGCTAGGGCTGATAAGATCCTTCGGTCGGCGTGCAGAGGAAATCTTCCAATTTAACATTAATAAAACTAAAATAACGGCTGTGTAGCGTATTTGGCGAGAAAGCCGATTTGGAAAAGTTCACGCTCGAAATCGCCACATAGCCCAAGAAGGATTAACACAAGTTGCCAACTCGGGGCCTTCATTTTCTTCCGTGACAACTACGCAGAACAAGGCAATGTTGCTCCATGCTCGAGGCCAAAGCAAGGAGAGAAGAGGTCATTTTCGTTTCGTGGCGTAAAAACAACTTGACGCCATTCAGCAGACTCTGTCTGTATCGATGATGAATTTCGACCGAATTTGATTGCCTGATAAAAACAAAATTTCACTGCGATGTCAGATATAGTAGCGGCCTTCAGCCTCACCTCACAGCCGTGCTTTCCACCCATTTCTTTAATTTAGATAAATATAAGTTTTCAACAAATTTTATTTCGTTGAGGCCAGTGGTATCAAATCAGCGGTGTTGGTCTTACGATTTCAATTGTCCTGGCCTTCCTTCAAAATATCGGTTTTTCTTGACTCAAAATAAAATTCCCTGACTTTTCCCTGACTTTGAGGTATTTTTCCCTGGCCATTTCCGCATCTGTGGAAACGCGAATATTGTACCAAAATAGTGACGCATTTAAAAAAAGAATAGAAATCGTTTTCTCTGGCATACCTTTATTTCGTACTGTTCTAACATTTTTATTTATCAAAGATCGTAAAATTACTCAAACTTGTCCTAACAATCTAGTGAAAATAAGCGTGTACAATATTCGTTTCCCGTCTCTAGAGAAAATTCTATTCCTTTCAAACGTATATTACATACATACATTAAACTAATGCTCGTAGCTTGAATTCTATTTACATACTTGTGAAAAATTAAAATACTATTCAAAATCTAAGTGCTTCGTGAAACTCGTCCGCCTCAAATCTCTACAGTGCCACCCGATCGCTTCTTCGTAACCAATCGGCTAATTGTCGTTTGGTCGTGAAAGATCGGTGAATCTTCGGGATAACCATCATACCACAGCACTAACTTTACTAAAAAAAAGTTCATTTACCTTAAGTTTGTAATTTGCAAGGACGCTAAATACGACGGTAAAGTTACGATAAATTTACCCTGCCCTTTAAATTTCTCCTTTAGGAACTTTAAGTTCCCAGAGCCATTTTCAATATAAAGCTTTTGGAAATCACAACCAAATGGCCTTAGAACTATCTATGAGCCCATTGACATAACCCCGCTGCTGTTACCGTGACTGAAGGGCTGCTCTCGAAACAAAACACTAATAGTAAATTTGCAGGCGCTTATGGGCAAATAATGAATCTATACTTATTTCTCTGTGTATTTATAACGTAATAGAATATAGGATGGCATATGAAAAAGCATTTTAAGCACTGGTTTTCACGTACAATATCTAAAAAAAAAATTAAAACTTAACCAATTACTGGTGGTCGAGGTCGCGTTCAAACTTGAGAACAAACCATCTTAAAAGTTTTCTTAAAACAGTCGGATTTGCACAGAAAAAATATCGATACTGAAAGAAGTGTCTGGAAATATTCAAGAGTAGACCTGCCAGGCGGTAGCGATTTCTTGCAGAAACCCGACACACATTTGTAAATAGACGAACATTTTACAGTACAAATTTGTAAACTTCGACACTACAAGTTTAATCAATTTTGTATACAGATCCCGCTCGCAAATGGGCCATTGCCGTGGGTAATTTGTATACAAGAGCACTTTATGATGTAAACTTAAGCATTATCGCAATATCGATGGCTCTTCTGTCTAAGCTCCAATGAAGTCAAAATTTAGAAAACATCGCCCAGGTTAATTTATGGCGTACTTGCTATGACTTCTATTTCCCTCAAAACGTTCATTGAGATCAATGTAGTTATTACACGTCATACAAATGTCCTGCAAGGATACTTTGTCGTTAAGGGGAAGTTATATCGCCGTTCATCTGTGCCAATTGTTCCTGTTGCCATCTTGATGTCCTGACTTTTTCTTTTGGTGTTTCTTCATTGAACATTTTAAGTTTATCCTTGAAGTCCAGCTTTTCTGGTTTCCTAGAAACAAACTGGCTCTCGGATTTCTCCTCGTCTGTCAAGGACATCCGCCCCAGGCGTCCGCGGACCGTCTCGGCTCCATTCATCTCATCGTTATCTAATCGCGCGGGTTTAGGAGCGTACTGAGGCATGGTGCGAGACGGAGGTCCGTCAAGAACATTTTCCTGCGATCCATACCTCACAGGAGGAGGGGGAGGTCCCGCTTGGTTTAACTCGAGAGCTGCTGGGTAAGACACAGGCCGTGGTCGCCTTGGATACGTCGCGTAACTAGGGTAGGCGGATGATGACGTCACTGGCGGCTGGCGAAGAGGAACTCCCGTGCTGGAGTACGATGCGGTGTAATCCGGTTGACCCCGAGTTCCTGGTGCTGCAATAGTCACCCGGGATGTGTACCCAGCACTTGAAGATGATCGATCTCCAGTTAGAGCAGCCAATCTTTCAAAACTTTGCGGTGATTTTGGTGGGGGTGGGGGTGGAAAGTTATCGTCCTCTAACAACTCGTCAGGAGGTGGGGGTGGTGGCGGCGGAGGAGGAAGATCATCGTCGTCGTCAGGGAGAGGTGGCCTGGTAGCATCTGGTACCGGGTCACTTGGAGCCCGGGTGTTCACGTATCTGACACTGGGGGCAGGGGTGACCCGCGCTGTGTAACCCGACGGTGTACCGACCACGTATGTCGGAGAAGCGGGCTCACGAATCTCTGTCGCCACGTTCGAAAACGACACTTGTTTCTTGGGTCGAGACGAACTGGGATGGCGAAGAACCGACACGGGTTCCGAGCGCCGTCGAGCTATTTCGTCGTCGATCAATTTCCGCCTCCTTTCATAATCGGCGGTGGCGCGATCCTTTAGTTCATTGACGTGTTCTTCAGTAGACGACTTCCGCGTCCTTCCCTCCTGAAGCATCTGTTCTTCCATCTGCTGCTTCCGTACCTGCTGCTCCTTCTCTTTAACAATCCTCTGCTCCTCAAGCTGCTTCCTCCTCTCGAACTCACGCCTTGCCTCCGCCTCACGTTCTTCCTCAGCCCGCAGTCTCTCCTCTTCCTCCTTCTGCTGCTGACTCTGTCGTCGTAGCCGCTCGTCCTGATCGCGCCGCTGCTGTACTTCCAGGCGCCTCTTGTTGCGTTCTTCTTCCTCTTGCATCTTCTTCTCTAGCCGCAGCCTCTCTTGTTCAATCCTCTGTTGATCTCTCTTCTCTCGCTGCTGTTTCAGCCACTCCTCCTGTTCTCTTTCACGCTGTTCCTGTAATCGTCGCTGAACGTCTTTCTGCTGCTCACGGTCTAATTCAAACTGCTGAAGCCGGCGCTGTTGCCGTTCGCTGAGAGAAAACGACGAAGAAAATTATAAATACAACCCATCTTTCGCTTGCTCCAGGGGTAACAAAGCCACAGTGTAAAACTACGATTTCGAACTTGCTGTTAACCACAGCCAAATAAACTATTACTTTTTAAGCTTCCTTCGATTTAAGGAAATTTCAATTTCACGCAAACTTCTATCACTAATCTTGTAACCGCTAATCTCGTTATACATTTTGCTCACAATAGCCAAAAATGATCAACATACAAAATCTCATTACAATAACAATACAGCGTCAAACAGAGAGGTGAGGGGAAGAAATAAAATCGTCGATTTAAAAGTAACATGTTCGTAATGTACCAGCAATTAATCAGAATAAGCATCATGATTAGTACAGAGAATTTACTAAGTCACCTTCGAAGCTTCTCCTCCTCCTCTTCTTTCTGCTGTCGTCTTTTCTCGGCCTCTTTCCTTTCCTTTTCTCGTCGTGTGTTTTCCTGAAGTATCAAGTCGATCTTCCTTCCTCGCTCCATTCTCTCCTCCTTACCTGGCGCGTAGTACTTCACACGTGTTACCGACACCAGTCCCCCAGCAGTGCGTTCCTGTATGACCTGCAAGCAACAAAGTACGCAGAGTGTTGAAAGGTCAATAATGTTCTGTACGCTCTCTATAACGTCAGGAGGCCATGACCAATGGGCTGCTGGTTAATTTCAAATTTGACGTTTGTCACTTTTTCTTCTGCCATATCCAAGAAAAATAACTCATTTCGCGTATGTGTGAACTGGCAAACGAGCTCTATTTTGCGCCTCTTTACGGAGATCGATAAGACCACTGACTCCCAGCGGTACGTGCCCAACTCATGGTAACCCGGATGTAATGATTTGGCAGAATAAATAGTTTCTTTTGTTTCGATCCCTAAAGCCTCGGAGCAGATTCAGAATTTTAAGAAATCAGAATTGGCTAACAATCGATATTAACTATTTTATGCTTGCGCATTACTTTTGTAATCCCGCATTTCATTTGCCGCGTGCCTTTAGATCCATGGGGAATATGGTTTAATAGAACTATTTTGCATCAAAATAAATTCCAAATGCCGTCACTTTTCTTCAAAACTAATTAACTGAACAGAAACTACAATCACTAAAAAGCTAAAGCCATAAACGAAAACAGGACAACTGTCTTGCGAAAGCCACACCGCCTTACTAATCATTCGTTGAACATACATGGAAGATGTTTTCAAACCCAGAACGAGAACCCATTACACTGTACACAACAGTCGAGTAGATGATTTTTGAAAACGTCCGTCAAATGTTCTTGGAAACCAAAATTGGAAAATGATTTTTAATACGATTATGAAACTTCAAATTGCATCATGCAAATGGCTTACCAGTTAAAATGAAATGTATGGAATTAAACAAAACAAAAAAACTAACAGTTTGAAATCAAAGAGGTTCGGAAATAAAGAAAAAAAAAACAGTTTTGTTCTCGTCGGTACTGGGTTAGATACATGCCAAGTAAACTGTATTCGAAATTCTGGAATCACATTTAAATCAGCTTATCTTCGAAGTGATAGATCCTCGGCTATAACCTCCTAATGATATTTCGTTGTTTTATAAAATTAAATAAAGGTATGATTTTAGCGTTAAGGCAAGCATTGCCTAACATAAAATATGCCAGTGTAAACGTGCGAAAAATGTTGTACTAAATCGCTGTCGACACAGGTTACGACAAACACCGCTATCGGTAACTTATAACCACATGAACGTATGGAAATAAATGACGAGAAAGATTTTGACCAAACAACGACAAGAGCTATTCATAAAAACAAAAAACTCAAATCAAAGTTATGATCTTGCTCATACTATTCGGTTAGTCTGGCGGCTGTTACTCTACTGTAAACTCGGGGGAACTGGATGCTAAATGAGTTAGAAATATGAGAAACATTTTGATTAGTCCGGGACAACGTACCTCGAGACAAACCTTGCGTTTAGAATTAACGTTGAAAAGTTCGGTAGACGTCCATAGCTCACACGCTGGTCATTATTAATAACAGGTCGTACGGTAAATGACAAAGAAGATAAAACAACACCGAAAATGTTCGTATGACGAAAGAGCTTCGACGTCAAACAGTCAGAGCCAATCAAAACACGATTGATAAAACCACTCGACACTCATAGGTCACTTGTGATTGGATAAGTATGGAACATCACCGGCCCTCCAAGTTTCACGGGTAAAGGAGTTTTACCAGATGTGAAAGACAGTTTGAAGAGGGCTAGTCTGTTAACCAAAAACCTCTAATTTGAAAACGTAGTTTCTAAATACCTGCACCCAATGATCTGTGCACTTATTCCTCTAACTATTAAGACAAAGAAAAAGAGATGTGTAATGAAAATTACCTCCCCATCATCACCAGCTTCCTTCCTTTTTCTTTCTTCTTCAACACGCCTCTGAAATTCTCGTTCGACTTCATCAGCGGTCAACGACTCAATCGTGTCTAAATACTCTTTGCTCCCCTTGACGCTGGGCAGCCTTGAAAGTCGCGCCTGTTCCATGTTCCTGAGTTGCATTTGTTCTTCCTCGAGTTGTTTCAACTGATCTTCTCTCTCCCGCTGTTCGTCTAACTCCTCCTTTTGCATCTGGTTCATAATACGCTCCTCTTCAGCGCGCTCACGCTCTTCCCGTTCACGATCCGCANATTCAGCAGACTCTGTCTGTATCGATGATGAATTTCGACCGAATTTGATTGCCTGATAAAAACAAAATTTCACTGCGATGTCAGATATAGTAGCGGCCTTCAGCCTCACCTCACAGCCGTGCTTTCCACCCATTTCTTTAATTTAGATAAATATAAGTTTTCAACAAATTTTATTTCGTTGAGGCCAGTGGTATCAAATCAGCGGTGTTGGTCTTACGATTTCAATTGTCCTGGCCTTCCTTCAAAATATCGGTTTTTCTTGACTCAAAATAAAATTCCCTGACTTTTCCCTGACTTTGAGGTATTTTTCCCTGGCCATTTCCGCACCTGTGGAAACGCGAATATTGTACCAAAATAGTGACGCATTTAAAAAAAGAATAGAAATCGTTTTCTCTGGCATACCTTTATTTCGTACTGTTCTAACATTTTTATTTATCAAAGATCGTAAAATTACTCAAACTTGTCCTAACAATCTAGTGAAAATAAGCGTGTACAATATTCGTTTCCCGTCTCTAGAGAAAATTCTATTCCTTTCAAACGTATATTATATACATACATTAAACTAATGCTCGTAGCTTGAATTCTATTTACATACTTGTGAAAAATTAAAATACCATTCAAAATCTAAGTGCTTCGTGAAACTCGTCCGCCTCAAATCTCTACAGTGCCACCCGATCGTTTCTTCGTAACCAATCGGCTAATTGTCGTTTGGTCGTGAAAGATCGGTGAATCTTCGGGATAACCATCATACCACAGCACTAACTTTACTAAAAAAAAGTTCATTTACCTTAAGTTTGTAATTTGCAAGGACGCTAAATACGACGGTAAAGTTACGATAAATTTACCCTGCCCTTTAAATTTCTCCTTTAGGAACTTTAAGTTCCCAGAGCCATTTTCAATATAAAGCTTTTGGAAATCACAACCAAATGGCCTTAGAACTATCTATGAGCCCATTGACATAACCCCGCTGCTGTTACCGTGACTGAAGGGCTGCTCTCGAAACAAAACACTAATAGTAAATTTGCAGGCGCTTATGGGCAAATAATGAATCTATACTTATTTCTCTGTGTATTTATAACGTAATAGAATATAGCATGGCATATGAAAAAGCATTTTAAGCACTGGTTTTCACGTACAATATCTAAAAAAAAATTAAAACTTAACCAATCACTGGTGGTCGAGGTCGCGTTCAAACTTGAGAACAAACCATCTTAAAAGTTTTCTTAAAACAGTCGGATTTGCACAGAAAAAATATCGATACTGAAAGAAGTGTCTGGAAATATTCAAGAGTAGACCTGCCAGGCGGTAGCGATTTCTTGCAGAAACCCGACACACATTTGTAAATAGACGAACATTTTACAGTACAAATTTGTAAACTTCGACACTACAAGTTTAATCAATTTTGTATACAGATCCCGCTCGCAAATGGGCCATTGCCGTGGGTAATTTGTATACAAGAGCACTTTATGATGTAAACTTAAGCATTATCGCAATATCGATGGCTCTTCTGTCTAAGCTCCAATGAAGTCAAAATTTAGAAAACATCGCCCAGGTTAATTTATGGCGTACTTGCTATGACTTCTATTTCCCTCAAAACGTTCATTGAGATCAATGTAGTTATTACACGTCATACAAATGTCCTGCAAGGATACTTTGTCGTTAAGGGGAAGTTATATCGCCGTTCATCTGTGCCAATTGTTCCTGTTGCCATCTTGATGTCCTGACTTTTTCTTTTGGTGTTTCTTCATTGAACATTTTAAGTTTATCCTTGAAGTCCAGCTTTTCTGGTTTCCTAGAAACAAACTGGCTCTCGGATTTCTCCTCGTCTGTCAAGGACATCCGCCCCAGGCGTCCGCGGACCGTCTCGGCTCCATTCATCTCATCGTTATCTAATCGCGCGGGTTTAGGAGCGTACTGAGGCATGGTGCGAGACGGAGGTCCGTCAAGAACATTTTCCTGCGATCCATACCTCACAGGAGGAGGGGGAGGTCCCGCTTGGTTTAACTCGAGAGCTGCTGGGTAAGACACAGGCCGTGGTCGCCTTGGATACGTCGCGTAACTAGGGTAGGCGGATGATGACGTCACTGGCGGCTGGCGAAGAGGAACTCCCGTGCTGGAGTACGATGCGGTGTAATCCGGTTGACCCCGAGTTCCTGGTGCTGCAATAGTCACCCGGGATGTGTACCCAGCACTTGAAGATGATCGATCTCCAGTTAGAGCAGCCAATCTTTCAAAACTTTGCGGTGATTTTGGTGGGGGTGGGGGTGGAAAGTTATCGTCCTCTAACAACTCGTCAGGAGGTGGGGGTGGTGGCGGCGGAGGAGGAAGATCATCGTCGTCGTCAGGGAGAGGTGGCCTGGTAGCATCTGGTACCGGGTCACTTGGAGCCCGGGTGTTCACGTATCTGACACTGGGGGCAGGGGTGACCCGCGCTGTGTAACCCGACGGTGTACCGACCACGTATGTCGGAGAAGCGGGCTCACGAATCTCTGTCGCCACGTTCGAAAACGACACTTGTTTCTTGGGTCGAGACGAACTGGGATGGCGAAGAACCGACACGGGTTCCGAGCGCCGTCGAGCTATTTCGTCGTCGATCAATTTCCGCCTCCTTTCATAATCGGCGGTGGCGCGATCCTTTAGTTCATTGACGTGTTCTTCAGTAGACGACTTCCGCGTCCTTCCCTCCTGAAGCATCTGTTCTTCCATCTGCTGCTTCCGTACCTGCTGCTCCTTCTCTTTAACAATCCTCTGCTCCTCAAGCTGCTTCCTCCTCTCGAACTCACGCCTTGCCTCCGCCTCACGTTCTTCCTCAGCCCGCAGTCTCTCCTCTTCCTCCTTCTGCTGCTGACTCTGTCGTCGTAGCCGCTCGTCCTGATCGCGCCGCTGCTGTACTTCCAGGCGCCTCTTGTTGCGTTCTTCTTCCTCTTGCATCTTCTTCTCTAGCCGCAGCCTCTCTTGTTCAATCCTCTGTTGATCTCTCTTCTCTCGCTGCTGTTTCAGCCACTCCTCCTGTTCTCTTTCACGCTGTTCCTGTAATCGTCGCTGAACGTCTTTCTGCTGCTCACGGTCTAATTCAAACTGCTGAAGCCGGCGCTGTTGCCGTTCGCTGAGAGAAAACGACGAAGAAAATTATAAATACAACCCATCTTTCGCTTGCTCCAGGGGTAACAAAGCCACAGTGTAAAACTACGATTTCGAACTTGCTGTTAACCACAGCCAAATAAACTATTACTTTTTAAGCTTCCTTCGATTTAAGGAAATTTCAATTTCACGCAAACTTCTATCACTAATCTTGTAACCGCTAATCTCGTTATACATTTTGCTCACAATAGCCAAAAATGATCAACATACAAAATCTCATTACAATAACAATACAGCGTCAAACAGAGAGGTGAGGGGAAGAAATAAAATCGTCGATTTAAAAGTAACATGTTCGTAATGTACCAGCAATTAATCAGAATAAGCATCATGATTAGTACAGAGAATTTACTAAGTCACCTTCGAAGCTTCTCCTCCTCCTCTTCTTTCTGCTGTCGTCTTTTCTCGGCCTCTTTCCTTTCCTTTTCTCGTCGTGTGTTTTCCTGAAGTATCAAGTCGATCTTCCTTCCTCGCTCCATTCTCTCCTCCTTACCTGGCGCGTAGTACTTCACACGTGTTACCGACACCAGTCCCCCAGCAGTGCGTTCCTGTATGACCTGCAAGCAACAAAGTACGCAGAGTGTTGAAAGGTCAATAATGTTCTGTACGCTCTCTATAACGTCAGGAGGCCATGACCAATGGGCTGCTGGTTAATTTCAAATTTGACGTTTGTCACTTTTTCTTCTGCCATATCCAAGAAAAATAACTCATTTCGCGTATGTGTGAACTGGCAAACGAGCTCTATTTTGCGCCTCTTTACGGAGATCGATAAGACCACTGACTCCCAGCGGTACGTGCCCAACTCATGGTAACCCGGATGTAATGATTTGGCAGAATAAATAGTTTCTTTTGTTTCGATCCCTAAAGCCTCGGAGCAGATTCAGAATTTTAAGAAATCAGAATTGGCTAACAATCGATATTAACTATTTTATGCTTGCGCATTACTTTTGTAATCCCGCATTTCATTTGCCGCGTGCCTTTAGATCCATGGGGAATATGGTTTAATAGAACTATTTTGCATCAAAATAAATTCCAAATGCCGTCACTTTTCTTCAAAACTAATTAACTGAACAGAAACTACAATCACTAAAAAGCTAAAGCCATAAACGAAAACAGGACAACTGTCTTGCGAAAGCCACACCGCCTTACTAATCATTCGTTGAACATACATGGAAGATGTTTTCAAACCCAGAACGAGAACCCATTACACTGTACACAACAGTCGAGTAGATGATTTTTGAAAACGTCCGTCAAATGTTCTTGGAAACCAAAATTGGAAAATGATTTTTAATACGATTATGAAACTTCAAATTGCATCATGCAAATGGCTTACCAGTTAAAATGAAATGTATGGAATTAAACAAAACAAAAAAACTAACAGTTTGAAATCAAAGAGGTTCGGAAATAAAGAAAAAAAAAACAGTTTTGTTCTCGTCGGTACTGGGTTAGATACATGCCAAGTAAACTGTATTCGAAATTCTGGAATCACATTTAAATCAGCTTATCTTCGAAGTGATAGATCCTCGGCTATAACCTCCTAATGATATTTCGTTGTTTTATAAAATTAAATAAAGGTATGATTTTAGCGTTAAGGCAAGCATTGCCTAACATAAAATATGCCAGTGTAAACGTGCGAAAAATGTTGTACTAAATCGCTGTCGACACAGGTTACGACAAACACCGCTATCGGTAACTTATAACCACATGAACGTATGGAAATAAATGACGAGAAAGATTTTGACCAAACAACGACAAGAGCTATTCATAAAAACAAAAAACTCAAATCAAAGTTATGATCTTGCTCATACTATTCGGTTAGTCTGGCGGCTGTTACTCTACTGTAAACTCGGGGGAACTGGATGCTAAATGAGTTAGAAATATGAGAAACATTTTGATTAGTCCGGGACAACGTACCTCGAGACAAACCTTGCGTTTAGAATTAACGTTGAAAAGTTCGGTAGACGTCCATAGCTCACACGCTGGTCATTATTAATAACAGGTCGTACGGTAAATGACAAAGAAGATAAAACAACACCGAAAATGTTCGTATGACGAAAGAGCTTCGACGTCAAACAGTCAGAGCCAATCAAAACACGATTGATAAAACCACTCGACACTCATAGGTCACTTGTGATTGGATAAGTATGGAACATCACCGGCCCTCCAAGTTTCACGGGTAAAGGAGTTTTACCAGATGTGAAAGACAGTTTGAAGAGGGCTAGTCTGTTAACCAAAAACCTCTAATTTGAAAACGTAGTTTCTAAATACCTGCACCCAATGATCTGTGCACTTATTCCTCTAACTATTAAGACAAAGAAAAAGAGATGTGTAATGAAAATTACCTCCCCATCATCACCAGCTTCCTTCCTTTTTCTTTCTTCTTCAACACGCCTCTGAAATTCTCGTTCGACTTCATCAGCGGTCAACGACTCAATCGTGTCTAAATACTCTTTGCTCCCCTTGACGCTGGGCAGCCTTGAAAGTCGCGCCTGTTCCATGTTCCTGAGTTGCATTTGTTCTTCCTCGAGTTGTTTCAACTGATCTTCTCTCTCCCGCTGTTCGTCTAACTCCTCCTTTTGCATCTGGTTCATAATACGCTCCTCTTCAGCGCGCTCACGCTCTTCCCGTTCACGATCCGCATGTTCACGTTCTGCACGTTCACGTTCTGCGTGTTCACGTTCCGCGCGTTCACGTTCTGCGCGTTCACGTTCTGCGCGTTCACGTTCTGCGCGTTCACGTTCGGCGCGTTCGCGTTCAATGCGCTCAAGTTCTTGTCTGCTTCTTTCCCGACGTTCACGTTCCAGAAGTTCTCGTTCTTGCCTGTCACGTTCCGCACGCTGGCGATCCCGCTCTTGTTTGTCACGCTCAAATCTGTCCCGTTCCGGGCGCTGTTCTTGTTCTCTCTTCTGTCTTTCTAAATGGTAACGCCACGCTCTTTCCTCCTGTTCACGACGTTCCAACGTGCTTTCTCTTTCCTCTGCAACTTTCGCCTCTTCCCGCTGCCAGCGAGAAAACTCTTCCTTTTCGTGTGGTTTCCAATTATCCGGCTGTTCGCGTGTTTTTCGTTCTTGTTCATTCTCTCCTGGTCTTGCAGCTTGTGCACCGGATTGTTTGACCATAATGTACCGGCCGTAGCGCGAGTTACGGCTGTCGATGCGAATTGGACTGGACGGAGGCTCTTCCGAGGACTTGTCCTAACAAAACAAGCAATAAAACGTATCGTTAGCACAAAGGAAGTTTAGGAAATAAATCCACAAAATAGGCTCCATTACCAGCCGCTGTTCAGAGTTCGAGCCTAGCTACAAAACTGCAGATCAAAAAAAAACAACAACAACAACACGACAAAGCTGTCTGCTAGCTGCGACCAAAGAAAGGATGATAGCCAAGAAACTCGCGAGGAAGTAGCTACACAATTCCAACAACAACAATAAATACACCGTCACCACTGAGTTTCTGATGAAGTAAAAAAATCCTGTAGTGGATGTCCCATCTCCTCTTAGTATCCACTTTCGGTTGGCGTTTGTTGCAGGGGAGTGTGTTGCTTTCAGAGGTGTTCGGGGAGAGGGGGCCTCTCCCTGACTACTATAGGAACAATGTTGGTAAGCAAAAGGAATAGAGAACTACAGGAAACAATATTGTCTGCTTTTGAGAATAAATAACGATAGACCTCTCCATCTTAAGGAGCTATATCACAGTTAGCGCATCTTGAAACTATAGCCTGGATCCTTGTTTCTTTTTGGTTTATTTCAGGTTTCTTTCAGTTTGAAGTAATTTTGCCCGTGGCCAAAATAACTTAAAATACCGTGACTGAGCTGGTTTAAATTATCACATAAATGTTCTATTAAAATTAGTTATTATTCCACACACCTCCCTAGGGGATCCTCTGCTGGGTGATGTTGCGCCAGGGGATGTAGGTGAGGAGTATGCCCGATTTGGGTTCTCACGAGCCACTATCTCGGGTTCCTCTACTTTCACGGTCAGCGGTGACCTCTGTCGCTCTTTCTCAGCCTCTTCAGGCTCGAAGCGAACTCTGTAAGGAGACCGGACGGGTTCAACCTGAACAGTCTGGGGCGAGGCACGTGATCCTTCTATTGGCTTTTTCTGCCGGCGCTGCTGTTCTCCGATCATTTTCAGCGCGTCTTCAGCTCGTTTTCGTTCTACCTCCTGCCGACGCCTCTCTTCGGCAAATCGTCGCTGTTCGTCTATCCTTCGTTCTTCTTCTCGTCGACGCTCCTCGTCTAATCTTCGCTGCTCCTCGGCTAGCCGTCTTTCTTCTCGAAGACGAGCCTCTTCGATTCTCCTTTGTTCCTCAGCGTACAAACGCTGCTCTTCGAGTCTCCTTTCCTCCTCTCGCCGACGTTCTTCTTCTAATTTCTTCTGTTCTTCGGCACGTCGTCGTTCCTCCTCCAATCTTCGTTGTTCTTCGGCGCGTCTTCGTTCGTCCTCTAATCTTCGCTGTTCTTCGGCACGTCTTCGTTGTTCCTCAAGACGTCTCTCCTCGTGAAGTTGCCTCTCCTCCTCAAGTCGCTTCTGTTCTTCAGCCTGCCTGCGCTCCTCCTCCAGTCTTCTTTCTTCTTCTTCTCTATACCGTCTCTCCCTCTCCGTACGCATGCGTTCTTCCTCTACCCTCCGCTGTTCCTCAGCGTATCTCCTTTGTTCTTCCAGTCGTCTTCTCTCCTCATCTCCATCCCTTCTCCTCCTATCCTCGTCCACCTGCCACTGCTCATGGTAGCGCCGGTCTCGGTTCTCATCACTCCTCCTGTATGACTGATCACGGTCTTGCTGTAACCATCGCCCGGGAGACCGCTGCATCTGTTGCTCCGAGATCGTTGGCGATGCTTGAAGCATTTCTTCATTATCCACTGCTACAAGGCTCTGTTGGGGCTCTATGTGAGAAATAGTTTCATTTCATAATCAGAGAAGTGGCATATGTGAAACATAAGTTTAAGGTTCAAAATGGTCCTAGAGAAAGTACCCGAAACATTCCATACCGATCACGTAACAATATGGTTCTTTGTGTAGTCTCTGATTTGTTGTAAATTTCACCCACAATGAACAGCCAATCACAGACACCGCAGGGTTATCCTCGTCATCAGTATGCAAATAACTGTTTGACCTACCAGACATGTGCCATTATTGGTAATCGCACGCATGAAACGAAGTATCAATTTTTCTCAAGTTGTAGAAAAGTGTTTTTCATTGCTCAAGTTCTGTGTAGTTTGATATTATTTAGACTAAAAACTGAAAGACGAACAAAAGGTTAAAAAACTGAAGTCAAAATTCTCGCTTATGCTGGGTTAGCTTAATCGGGCTCTGAACAACCCGGCAGAAGGCTAGAAAACCTTGAATTATTCTACCTTTGGTAACCATTGGCGACGGCTGACTTAGCAGGGTGGCAAGACCGTGATAAATAGCACTCTGCTTGGAAATCCGCAAAGTAACATTAGGTCCTGATTTGACCATGAGCTCCGCCGCCCTATGAACAATGTAAAAAGACATTAATATACATGTTCTCGTTGGTGGTCTCTATACGCCCCCTATAAGATTACTTGGGCAATTTCAATTACTCTCTCTTGTTGATCATTTTCTCTCCTCTTCAGTTGCCTTGCAGGGATGTTTTGATCAGAAATAACGTGCCCTGTTGATGGGTAAACCAAGGTGAGTCGAAATTCCGACCATATCGTCCTCATATCACGATTCTAATCTTGAAAACCATTGCGATACATGACATTCAGGGGGTGTTACTCTATTTTTCTAGTAAGATGTGTTGAAACGCAAATGCGAGGCGAGTCTCCTTATGAAGCAGCGCCTATGAGCGTGACTCAACCGACTGAACCAAAAAAAACTGGAATACATAGATACTAACCGTTCCTGTGGAACGCCAACTAAGCTTTCGCCATTCACGGCTAAAAGCTGATCTCCTGCTCGTAAACGCCCATCCTAAACAGGGAAATAGAAGAACGTAATTTCATGGCAAGGTTTATGTGTTGTCTTAAATCTACCCTCCCTTGAGGGCGTTATTCTGACCATCACGCAATGTCTCCTCGGGGAGAGAGTTATGTGACTACCCATAGAATTTGAAAAATGATGCATTTCTACATTTAGCCTGAGTTTAAATAAAATAACATGATCTATCATTTTCCGGTACTAATAGCAATTCGCTAACCTTGGCAGCAGGCCCATCTTTCACAACTTGTTTGATGTAAATCCCAAGCTTATCTTGTCCAGCACCCTAAAGAACATAAGTGAATTAAAAGTCAATCGCTTTACAGTTCTTGCGGTTAGTAAAAGAAAAGCACCTTACGATTCTCGCGCGAGAAAAACGCACTTGAAAGGATCGTCACGCATGATTGATTAAGTATCGGGTATTACACGCGCGTCATTTGTACGAACAGGCGCGCGAAATTTTACCTGATGCTGTCAAAATAAACCCAACAAAAAACGTACCTTTGCGGCTACAATGCTCAGACCCATGCCTCCCTGACCTTTGTAGAAGGAAACGTCCATGATTTCAGGAGTCTAAGGAAAAAAATTCAAAGAATTTGCAAAAGGAAGTAAGATGAAGGCGGAATTTAATTACCAACCGCATGAGGAAGTCCACAGAAATCTCACGGAAATTGCCGTAGAGGCAGTTCATAACCGCTCGTATTTACCTGAGGAGGTCTTGAGGGCGTATCACCACCTAAGACAATGAAGAAGGAATGTTAAATATATGTATAACTGAAAAATACTTAACAATGTCCTAACCCTACTTGTGTTTTGAGTAAACATTTTCTTACCATTGTCCCTGTGTTTGGTATGATAAACCGTCCATAACCCCGATGAAGATGACTGAATAGTCAGTCTGCACAGACCTGAAACGCAAGTATCTCCAGTTTAGTTCCTTGTTCTACTTCCCGCCACAACACAGATCAACAAAATGCTATCGCTGACTTAAAGCAAGAAATGGTGGCTTGTATTTTGTCCCGTTGACTGACTGATGCCCACTTAAAAGAGGATATATAAGACGACAATTAGTTGAAAAAATATCGTCTCTACTTATATTTGGGACCCTGAAAGACTCGTCAAATTCCCTCAAAAAAAAATCTTTAAAGACTACAAGATATATTCTAGTCCATCCAAATCGTACCAAATCACTTTTAAATATATAACGGCTCGTTCATAGAAAACAGCAGATAAGAAAAGTATAATAAAGTTACCTGAATTTATCTGGCCGTATGGACGTTAAACGATACATGAACACGTAAATAGTTAATAGAACTTACCAATTTCCGCAAGGGGGTTCAAAAACTCCTTCAAACCAGGAGGGACACCTCGAATCACTTCACTAGAGTACCTGTCCTCAGGGAGCAAAAATGGGAGCTGAAGCTGAGGGTCCTCTTCAAGTGTTACCTCTTGGCCTTGGTTACGAATGAGCTCATCTGCTGTGTTTTCAGCGACGGCCACAACATTATCAATCAAATCCCTGTAAATGAAGGCTTATCGTTTAGTGATATGTGTAATAGCAACAAAAAAAATTAACTCCTCGGTAATTCCTTAGTCATTCTCACTACTCAGTTCCCGAAGACGTAACACAAGTTGATTATTTCCCATTTGAGTAACACCCGTGTAAGATAATTCATTTCCCCGAAGATGAAATCTGGTTCAAAGCTGCAAAATGAGTTTTTCTCTTAAGAGCCTGTCTTGAAAGAAAAAAAGGAAACTTCTGCGACGAAGTATCAATAATATTGGAGCTGGAAATAGGCCAAAGTTATTTTAAAAAACGTGTTATTCATATATTAATATAGATATGCTTTCGTTACAAACCGCAAAACAACACTGTACTTACATAAAAATCAGATAAAAGAAATTAAACAGTTTATTTTACGTTATTTTGCATTTAAATGGCGTTATGCTCAATAGCCGCCATGATAGTTCTTCATATTATGCAAATTGGCCGCGCGGTCTGGCAGGGGCAAGCATTATAGAGGAGACAGTTCCTTGAAAATTGGCTCGTCCCAACAGTGAAACATTTGTGCCGCAATGATTTTAAGAGTCAAATAAATTAATAGACGTTTTTACTTGTTAACTTTGCAAGTCATTTGTTTTCTAGAAATGCAACGAAATTGCCTATAATTTCGAGTATTACTAAACTTCACACTCCGCCGGGGCGTTAATTGTCCACTGGTTTTGTAGTAAAATTAACAAAAGCCATTACGCTACTGATTGGTTCCGTAATTGGTAAAGGGTCCATTTGCAAGCGCGCAACATTTGTTGGGGGAAGCAAATTTTGCTTCCGAGAAGCAAAACCTGGTCAGTCTAGTTCCTGATTTCAGAAAGGTTTTTTGGCTTACAAGAGTTTGCCAGAAGCAAAAGGCAATTTTTGCTTCCAACTCAGTTGCGCATCCGAAAAATATTTCGAGAAACAATGTTTTCGCGACAAATATAACTATTAACGTTTATACATGTTAATATCCGGCTTAGGGTCGGTCCCTATAGTGAAAAACTGTGACCTCGGGCAGGGCGAGGGCAGCATTTTCAAGACCTCGGTCACAGTTTTTCCCTATACGGACCTCCCAGCCGGCCAATAACATATATTTCTTTCTGGGCGACAGCCAAATTTGCAAAAACTAATCCTTCGATTAGTGAATGCGTTATACCAGGCATCACAAAGCATACAACATTTATAACAAGTAGGTATTGACGAGAAAAGTACTTGTTACATGATACAAACCTCGGAATACCGAGTTCATCAGGGGCTGGTCTGTAGTTTTCAAGTAGAGCACGTAACTGCACCGAGTTTAACTTGTAACATACAGATGAAATGGAATCAATGTCGCTGTGAGAATTCTTGGGAGACTGAAGTAGATGGGTCGCCTAATATGAAACAAAGAGAAAACACAAGTTTACAGTTAAAGCCATAGCTTACACAGCATTCATGTTCAATGCAAGTTTAATGGTTCGAATTGAAACAAAATATGCAAAACTTTAACCAGTTACTTCTTTCAAAAGATCCTCCACGAAAAATAAATGACAAACTGTTTTTCAGTTCCTCAAAATTGTGGTGTTTAGCCACTAATCAATGACCCCTTATGAGTCAAATGTAGCTAAAATTGATGGAAGGTACCTATAGTTGAACATTACAAGAACTGACTGGAATCAGAATTACAAACTAAACAGGATTTTCCTTGTCCAGTTGTTAGATTTGCCTGTATGAAGTCCCACCTGGAAAGAAGCTCATCACAGCTTTTCATTTTACTGTGTTCTCTTCCAATGAAATTCAGCACTGGGTTGCCAAAATGCATGATTCTTAATTACAATTCTACTGTGAATGAAGATAAATTTGCCAACTTTTTCCACGTTTAAGACAGATTTTCAACCCAACCATATCCAAATAAGTTCGAAGATTTCCAAAGACATTCCGAAGACCTCTAAAGACATCCAAAAAAATGGGAAAAGGTCCCACTCCAAAGAAAAAGACCTGGAAATGACCACTTGAGTTTTAACAACCCACCTGCACTACACGACACAAGTGACAGTCAGCAGCGAGTTCCAGGCCCTGCTTCTTGGCCCAGGTTTCCACCCTCCCCAGTCTCCTCCTCAGCCTGTGACCCCACTCTCTGGTACACAGGCCATACTGAGGCTGAAGAACCAGCTTGTTGAATATCCACATGTTGATATAGTGGAAGAGCTGTGAAAACACTTGAATGGTTAGAGCTGCATTCACTCTGCAACGGCGTAACAAAGACATGGCAGAAGTCAGAGTGTACAGGATATCAGACACAGTGGGTTTTTCATTGCCATGACGTCGCCGGCCACCTGAAAAGTACAAGCATTTTTTGAACAGTTAATTCATGGGCTGATTCAATTCTGCAGATGATGCAATCATCAAAAGTGAGACCAGTTCCATAACATAAAAACAATGTGTTGTTCAGTACACCTTTGACCTACCGCAGTGAGCAAAACTAGAAGATGGATTATCGCTACATACTACCGCGAAGTGCTGTGGGAGTTTGTTGTACTCAAGAGCACTGAGAGTTCCAACCCAGTAGAGTTATCCCCACTTACCAAGCCAGCTGTCTCCACCAATAGGCCTTCCTGATGGTCCATATCTAAAACTACGCTCTCCTGTGATATTATCAGGAGCATCAGGATCCATCATGGGGTCTAAATCACCATCTTCCATGTCAGCATCTTCTGTGATATCAAGGAATGCTGACATTGATTGCCGCAGCTCCTGTTCCACACACTGAACAAGGTGTCTAAATGCCATCTGGACTGACTGTGCCAACACTTGGTGGCTGTCTTTCAAGTAAGGTGATATGTCAACATCTTGCTTCAGGAAATGCAAGAGTTCTGATGAGTTTGCCATCCAGAAGGCCAAACTACCTGGAAGCTGACTTTTTTCCTGTTGGGAAAGATTTAAC